TTTAGTTTAAAAATGTCTATTTTATAATTATAACCTCAAAAAATTAAGAATATAAAAGTTTGTTATAACACGCTATAGAAAACTGCTTGGTGATTAGGTGAGGAAAGACTCCAAGGGCACCTTGTCGCCTAGGTGTCGCCTTGACAACTATGCAATGATGACTCTCCCCCTGTTTAAAATCACTCACCTCAGTACGAAATTGGTTGGAACATAGTCTAGTGCTTGGGAGTAAGTTTCAGAGGCACTATCATAGATTTCCTTGGCACTTTTAAACCATAAATAATTTCTATTGAAATGTGGTTGCATGGAACTTATCAAACATAACACTATCATGAGTTTCTCTTGCTACCACCAAGCATGCTTTAATTTTTTTGAGTTAGGTTCCTTATCTAATCCGATAATAAACCCAACTTACCATGCCCCCAATATCCATGCAAAGATATTGTATCCATTCCAGAAAATCATTTTCATTTAACCTTATAATGATTATTTGCGTATTCAAACTCTCCCCAACACAACTCAAGACTCTTGAGTCAAGACAAACCCAAAATCCATATTTTGCTTGGAATCACTAATAGAAAGCTTCATTGCACCAGAAAAAAACAAAATAATGGATTTACCACTATCAAACAACAAGTAGCAAAGGAGATTTTGATAATAGACAAACAACAGTGTGACCTAGAGATGCTTGAACCAAAATACAGAGAGATAGGCACTTGTTCGGTTGTTCCCTCCTTCAAAGAAATAGATGCTGCTAATCAATTTCCAAAATTTACAAGAAACTAAAATAATACTTCAGTGCCAAGTAGAATGAACATAGACTGCAACCACCAGAAAATTTTAGTCTCATATTTTTTTCTGATTTTCGGGAGGAATTCTCTAGGGTTCCTTCCAAGGCTCAGAAAATCTGTACAAAGAAACCAACAAATTTAAGAAGCAATAGCCAGACCTGTGAACATTTTTCAATGCCAGACCTGTGAACATCCAAGATATCTTTGCTTCACAATTCAACAACCCAATCATCACCAGTGAATTTCCATCTTCATCTTTAATATATATGAAGTTATCTATTTGCCACATCTAATCCAGTTTGTGGCTTGTATACAGAAGTTCAAATATTTAGAACCACATTTAGACATTCAGATCATGACCTTTTTTTATATGTAGAAATAAATTTTATTAACCAGTCAAAATAGGCATTACAAGCATCACTTAGATAGGCACAAGATGCTACATCTCCCAACATTACCAAAGGTTCCCAATTATAATTGAGCCCAATACAACTGATTTCTACTCACCCCTTGTTTGGCTAGAGTAAACCAGGGTTTTATTCTTAAATTGTGCATTCCAGCATCATTTTGGTTATTAAGCTTTAGTATATCCAATGTTATTTGAGACAAAACTTAGACATGTTCCAATTTTTCGTCAATACATATTAAGGATCAAAGAGGGTACACAAGTATGTAAACAAAGAACATAAAAGCCTTAAAGAATAATAAAGACCAAATAGAGAGAATGGAATACGAGGATATAAAACAAGGGTAATAGCCCCAACCACATCTATGCAAAATGTCCCAAGAAATCACCCAACCTCCACCAACACAAAAGTCATGGCTCTTCTCGCAGGTACAACGATTGCATTGAGTCTACATAATCTTTGCAATGCATTAAAGGTATTTGTAAATTTCACCGGAAGGAGTTGGATCATGGAGACTTGCCCTGCCCACTTTCTTGGTGAGGGCATTTGTCTAGTGTATGTCCAAATTTCTTGGACTCCTAGAGCATCAAGCTCAGTTGCAAAATGGCTTAGCTAGATCAGGTGTGAGGGGTAGTGCTGTTTGGTTTACAGTTATAGATATACGCCTCTAGTTTTTATCATTACACCTGTGTTTTAATCGGCTAGTTTTTCTCATTACTACCAACATACATAGCAGCTTGCCTTAAGAAAAATATTAATGTGAAAGTTATAACAGAGCATAATGATTACATAAAGAAGATAGAACATTTTACCAAAGATATTAATACATGTCTGCATGCATATCTCCACTGACTCTCCAAACAGAAAAGAACAAATTAAATGTATTAAATGTAAGAACATACCAGCTACACTATTCAGCATCTGGAGTAAACAATGCTGCTGAAAAGATGGAAAATAACCTACTCCCCACCCTTTCAGATCAATTTGCATAAGGTGCTGCACCTTTGTTCGAGGTCTCCCATTTCGAGATTTTAGAGGGGAAATAGTAAATCCTCCACCTGCAAGCACAAAAAGGAGAATGTATTTGCTTGAAATAACTAAATATAGGGATCAATCATAGCTTTAGAGCTAAATGAGCCTTGGAGCCAACTCAACTCCAAAGCATACCGAATCAAGTATGATTTTTAAAATACCACTATTCAATTCTTAGGGTAATGAATCCTGAGCTAAATGAGAAAGGAAATAAAAACTATACTCTCAACATGGGCCCGGACAAATCCTGGCTGTGGACCACAGTTCTCATGTTCCCGTGAACGAAATAGAACAACTGCACAATAACAAGAAAAAATCATGGAGAGTTCAAAAGTTAAACAGAAAAAGGAAAGTAACAACTAAAGCTAATATAGAAAAATATGCACCATAACTTCCATCATCATTACGGCGCCAATACCGCACATAGCAAAGGTCACGAGGCCAGACAAACCTGCACAAGCAAATTCCGGTGGAATAGTAATATATTATTTATAATTGCTAAGAATAGAGCTAAGCAACTATTCTCAATAGTTGGATAAATAATCGGACTAGGAGGGAATATTACATGGGAAACCAGTCCAGCTGTAGTCTGTGATAAAGTACCGCTGTGTGTCCATCTACCTCCTCAACTAAGCTACCATACTGGAAACTACAATCCCACCTACAAGACGCAAGAAAAGAGATATTTGCTACCATGATAGGATAGTGCAAGCATTTTTATTCAACTTTCCTTTTTCAATTCAACAATAAAAATGAGCATCCCTCATTTTTATTTTTACTCCATTCTCTCAATTGGTGGTGAACTGTTTGAAAACCTCAATTGGTAATTATGCTGAATTTGAAAAATGCTCCTTAGCAATCCAGAGATTTCCATGCATTTCAAGGTCTTAGTTTAGAAATAACCATGCAATTCCAATGACATAAAAAACAGCAAATGCAACATTAAAAGGCTGAAACAATAGTGTTTTTCATAAATTTCAAGGCCTAAGGATACCTAGTGGCTCAAAATAACCATATCATGGTGGGTGGGGATTCCAGTAACATGATTGTGTTGGAATGTGATTTCTATGTGCTCATTTAAAGCTAATTCTTTGTATATGTATACTTGTCTTAATAAATAAAAAACTTCGTTTTCCCTTTACAAGGCATTTAACACACAGTTATACTCACAGTTAACTGAAGGTCCTCAGGCAACACTATATGACAATAGATAATTAAGTGTTCAGTGTAACTCATCACAAGAGATTCAACGATCCAGTTCCTTATAGAGTTGAAACATCCCAACTGAATATAAGTCTAAGTGACTCACATAGTCAACACATGCATAGCTTCCATTGAATGGGGTGCTGATATCTTAGCAACTTGAACGAAACTCTAGACCTGTATGTGGGTGTGTACAGCATACACACCATGCCATTGGGCCTGTTTGTAATTCTAGTAAGTCTTACTAATCCTGACTGATGATAATAATGAATGGTTGAAGATTCCAATTTGATATTTGAAGGCCAATAGATAAAATACCTCTTTGCTAAACCTCAATGAAAAGAGTTAGTAACCCTAGTAGGATCTCACACCACAGTTGGGATAAAGGCTTGGATGATGATGATGAACGCTGATAGGATCACACCCCCTCCAATATACCAATATCAACATGAAACAATAATGTATTCTTATTCATTTACAATAAATGTATCTGTACATCAATCTGATTGGAGCTAAAGGCATACACTATCTAACATCTACCATCCCATTAGCCGATCCTCCCCCATTCAACCCTCAAGTTCATACTTCTCGTGAGCCATTTATACTTTTTTTGTCCCATCCCTAAAGCACCAAATTATGAATTCTAGTTCCTTCAACTACCCCACCACCAGTTTTGAATCCCCTTCAATCACCACATTTAGCATGTTCAACTCAATTGCAATTTTAACTCCTTGTAGTAAAGCGAGTAATTTAGCTCTAGACGAGTCAACCATTCCAACTGGGCCTGAGAACAAAGCAACGGCATGTCCTTCTATGTTACTCAAACTCCTCCAATTCCAAAGGGGCCCAAGTTACCTTGACTGCTTCCATCAAAGTGTAGCTTTACAAATCCTTCAAGAGGAGGTTGCCAAACCATTTGCAATTTTTCCTTCTTAGAGGATCCCATTTGAGAAGATTATGGACCTCCCAATAAACATCATTATTCAAGAAAACCACGGCTTGAAATTTCAATATCTATGGATGTCTCATTGTGCAAAAATTGGAGATTTTGAAGAATATTTTGCCAAATTTGTTGGGGTATTCCAAAAATATAAAGAAATTAGGGGAAATTACTAAAAACATGGAATTTGCTATTGAAGCTTCATGGATTGTTAGAAGTATAATTACAAACTTAAGACTCAAAAAACCATAGTAAACAACTATATATGTCAAACAAGAGAATATCAAGAGACTCAAATAGGTATCCCTTCCAGTCTCCATCTAGTCTGGCCATCTTCTCTTTTTAAAATATGGTATTCACTTTCTATTTTGATTCATCTTTTTCATTACTATGTTTTTATTAGATTACAATCATCTTTTCTAGTTGCTTGTCTTTTTTGTTTTCTTTTTGAATTAAAGTGACTTTTTTTATCAATATTTGAATTAAAGTGACTTAGTAAATAAATCACATTTAAAATAATAAGTCAATCTTCTTCTTTTAGGGGAAAAAAAGATCTCCAAAATTTTTTACTATTTTAATCAAATATAAGAATTGGTGATATTCTAAAATTTTGGATCTTAAACTTTCAATTCATAAACGAAATTCAAAATATCACTCATATCACCCCTAGATCAATAGGGAGATTTCAGATTGATTTTGTAAAATCTAGTTGATACTCCAAACCATGAGCACAACCACCAACCTGCTGCTAACTGCATCCTCTTGTTCCACTCTCCTAAAAGTATCTTCAATAAATACATCGCCCCCTAGAAAGAAGAGACCAATTAGAATTAAACTGCTTGCTTTTCTATTTTTGTTTGCAGCCCCTTTGTAATTATTTTTACCCTTACCAATATATTTCACTGATAAAGATCCAGTAAATAAATAAATACAATCAAATAAAGGAAAAAGGGTAATTTCAACTATTTAATCATTATTTGACACTTATTGTGTATCTGTTGATGCATGGTAATTATTTACAAGCTAGAGCTTTTACTCCACCATTCCTGAGCTTCAAATTTCTAAGAAAGAACTCCCTTTTAATGGAAATTCATTTGGACCTACTTTAAGTTTTAAAATCATCTTAGACCATAAGCAGAATTCAAATATACTATATATACCATAGAAATTTCTACATACACAAACACCATTGACAAAGGAAAGCTGCATAAGCTATAGGAGAAGGTTTGGTGTACCACAAGAGAGGACTAGAAAATAGAAATTGATAATAGTCAATGACTAGAAAGGAGGACTATTCAATAATGAATGTGTACCACGAGAATGAGAATCACAAAAAAACTGAATGAATATATTCAAGCTTAGAAAATACTCACTCAAACCGTGTCAGGTCCATGCTCATTACAAGCTCAAATATTTCTTCACATGTAGCATCTACCACCCCTACAGCCTTCATCGCTCTACTGCAGCTCCTTGGCTGCATGTGACACACTATTCATGACAAACATGACTTGAAAATCAACAGAAATTAATATATAGCAAAAGCACAATATACACATAAGAATAAATATGCACCATACAAGGTAATCAACTTCAAGCAACTCCTCAAAAATGCGGAGTCCTGCATATTTCCCCCAAAAACATTCATTAAGGACTCACAACTAAAATATTTTCATAGACAAGATTTAAATATCCTGCACCACTGTTACTAGTAGATCATCATAACTTAACATGGAGGATTAGCAATAAAGAAAACTCTGAAATGAACATTAGCATACCATTCTGACACTGAACAAGACGCCAATGCTTTGTGGAGAAAACCTGATTACTGGCATTTTGATTTGACAATTCTGAATCAAACTCTCTAGTCCAATCAAGCACTGAATCAGGAGGACCTGCTAGTTGAACAGAAAATGTTCTGGTTCAAATGTCACCAAAAAAAGTTCATTTCTATGGAACCTTGTGCAATTAGATAAATCTTAAATTACCATTCCCTATAGTTGTTCTCCGCAATAAAGTACGATGATTCTCCTCTTCATCCTCCTGAGCACTACCCCTAAGAAAATGTTCAAAGAATTGAAATTTCAAATCTAAGCATAACATAAACAAAATGATCATAAAGAAATCGTTGTTCCCGAGAAAAAGAAAATACCAAAGGATGTTAAAGTTTGATTGAATGCATGTCATTAAAGAAAAGCATGAAATTGCAATTATATCATGAATTCATATGTGGACAAAGTTACAAAACAATAATTAGCATTCATGACTAACATTTCGGTGAGCCAGAATACTCTTTCTTATCAATAGCATAGCTAGAGCACCCACCAACAGGATGACAAACAAAGAAGGGATAAAGTAAAATAAACCTAAAACAATGTGGAATTGATGGAAAGCAAAATGCAGGGTTATACCATATCATATGCCAAATAACAAAGCCATATGTCAAGCCAACTCCATTGTTCTGTTCATACGAATGGGGAAAACTACTGAGATTTATTTTTACCCTCAAAAATCAAAATTGATTAGCTTAGCATCGAACTCTCGAGAACCACAAGGAAAAGAAAATTAAGGTGATAATAATTCTGGAAGGTTTCCAAGTAAAGTCTCTAAGGAAAGACAATTGAAGATAAATTTTGGTCTAGGAATCTCATTTGGGATTCAGCTATCCCAACCGCATCATAAAGCTGCTCGGTATAGAAAATTAGAAAGATGTTAACAAGAGCTATGTATCATTCATTCAAGGTATTAGTAGACGATCAAGACTACAATCAGCCTTGAACCCTAATAGATTTCAGATTAGGAAAAGTAGAAGAAAAGGAAGAGAAAGGAAGAAAAGAGAGGAGAAGAACTGGAGAAACAAAGGTTGAAAGAAGGGACAGATTCAGAATGAT